ATCACAGATAAATCTATAAGTTGCATTTTAAACTCATGCCCAAATTTAAGAAAATATGATATTGCATATAGTAAGGGGGATGTCAAAAATGCTAATACTTTAATGCGAAGATGTTTCAATATAGAGTATCTCGACTTTTGTGGTGCTATGGCTTTATGGGATGATAGATTAATTATAGCTATTATCAAAAGATCTCTGAATTTAAGACATATAAAGATTGGCTGTAATGATATCACTAATAAGGTTACTGAAACACTGGCTCATACTTGTCATAAATTAGAATACTTCGATCTGTATTGCTGTGATTTTGTTAGTGAGCCATTAATTTGTAATGTTATACATTCCTGTCCAAAGCTCCAATATCTCAATCTTAGTTATTGCAATATTACAAGTAAGACTATCGAAGAAATTGCTCGCTCATATCTCAATTTAAAATCTAAATATTCATATCAATTTTGATGAAGATTACTGTTTTGATTCAGAATCTTCTAGCTCTGACTCTGAAACTGAATCAGATAATGAAGATGTCTATAGTAATAATGCGTCTCTCTAATAATATGTATCACTGGCTATATCCTGAACATTTGTATTTATTTTTTGCATGTATTAATAAAGCAATTTTACATTTACCACGTACATGTAATATTGAATAATTCTTTCGTATATGAAAATATTATCTATCATGTCATCTGATCTTAAAGTATTGATCACTGAACTTGAGGCTAAGATAACTGATGAGAAAGCTAAGTTTGAAGTATTGATCACTAAACTAAAGCAGGATTAGGCAGAAATAGATGCTAGAATTTTAAAACTAGAGTAGGATTAGGCAGAGAGAGAAGCTAAGAAAAATCGCAAATTCTAGACTAGATGTATCCAGATAGCTAAGAAAATTCTTAATAAGGAACCTATTATCGAATATCACTCTCCTTTCTTAAACAGATTAGAGCTTGATGCTTTCTTCCAAAAATATCAAATTGCATTAGAGATGCAAGGGGCTCAGCATCGACTTCATAGCACTAGCTGGTATAAGGATGTTAAAAAACTCAAAGATATTGTTAATCGTGATCAGAAAAAATGATGCATATATCAAGATAAAGGAATTTCCCTTCTTGAGGTATGGTACGATTAAAAATCAGAAATTGTTATTCCTAAAAGAATACAAAAAATTAAGGAGTTTTTTTGTCTAGTATCCAAAAGTTTTGATATTCAAACTATATCCTATAAAACATTAACCCCTGAATATCTAGATTGGCATGCTAAATTAAGTGGGTTACCAAGCATTTTGACAGATAAAATTCGCTCCAAATTATATAAAAGATATAAGAAAGAAACTGGTTATAAACCATGGTAATTACCAAAAGCTGTGAAACAAATCTCAAGCCTCTGATTTTGAGCTTATCACTTTTGAAGCCAGATCTGATCCAGAATTAATTATCAAATCCGTCTTAGAGCACTTCCCATACTTGAAGTTCTGAAATAGTTTTAGAGGGATTGATAATTATATTTTTGCATCACCTCAGCCGTGGAGCTCTTCATATTCTATTTGTGATGGAAAATATGGGAATTTTGAATTACATGGCTTATGGTACCATGAAAATGGGAATCAGTTTCCTTATGATCCTGAATTAGCAAAGTTATATTCCTAAGACAAGTTGGAATATTGTTTTACCTACAACACTTTAAGCAATAAACTCAAGTTCGCAATTGTAGCATAGAAGCTTTATTGTATACTTTCGCTTGTATTTATTTTTTTTTATCACTTGCATGTATTAATAAAGTACTGTGAATATTCTTCTCGCTTAACACCTGATATGTAAAAAGTAGTGATGTCAGAGAGTGTAACTGATGAGATCAATTTATGCGACAATTGATTTCTTTTATATCTGATACCCACTATTAATGATGGGATTTTTTAACTAGAAATTTAAAAATGCTAATTAATAAGTAATTAATAATTATTTATTAATTAGGCCGTAGTTTTTAAGTATTAAATATTAATAAGTAGTTAATAATTATTAATAATAAATTAATATGATTGGTCTAATAACTGATAACGGTATATGAAAATTTGATATGATCTGCCGCATGATAACGATTATCGATTTTTTTAAAAAACCTTCGAATTTATATTATAATTTCTGAATTTACGTTTTATTTTTAAGCTATAGAGTGATTTTACAGTTCGTAAAATTGCTCTTATTTAAAATATCTATCACAATGTTTCTGTTCTTTTTTGTATAATTGTCATGCATTTATATTATTCCTCCCCTCCAAAAAATTTGTTGAATATGTGTCACGATATGAGTTGTATTGTTAGCAATTCACCACCAAATAGCCAACAAAAACAAAGTAACCCTTCTAGTTATATTTGTTTTACCTTTTTTTTTGAATAATGCATGCAGTTAAAAAAAAGCAAGGTAGAAAAAAGGGATTAATTTGGTTTCATTTTATTGAAGGACCAATGATTAATAGTTCTCATTATGAAGCAAAGTGTAAATATTATTTTGAAAAGATGGATGGTATACCTGCTAATATGTTACAACATCTTAAAGAAGATTGTTCTAAAATTAGTAAAGAAATTCGTGATACTCTTCGTAATTTAGATAATAGAACAAAAAAAATAAGCATAAGCATCCTCATATTGAAACTGCGAATTCAGACAATGATGGTAATTTAGTTTTATTATTAATATTATTGTTGCTTTAATTTAATTAATTTATTCTATTTAATATCTAATGTAGATGAAAATGAATCCCAAGTTAATAATACATAAAAATCTATAGATTCTTTTGTAGATAGAAATATATCTCAAAATGAAGCAATAGCAATACATTGCTAACTATTACATGCCTTACTTTCAGCAAATGTTCCTTTCTTTTTTGTAGATAATTCTGAAGTTATCAAATTATTTAGAATGCTACGATCTTCATACAATCTTCCATTAAGAAAATGGATTAGCACTGAAATTTTAGATTAAGTTCATTAAGAGGTAGAGAATAAGATTCAGAAATTTGTTACAGATTCTAAATTTTTAACTTTATCTGAAGATAGGTGAACAAATGTATCTAAACAAAGAATGGTTAATTTTGTTCTTACAAATAAAAAGCGTCAAAGTCAAATTTAAAAAATAAAAAACTTTTCAAATATTCATTATACTGGAGATATTATGTTTAAAGCATATAAAAAGGTTGGAATGGAATTGGGAACTGATAAATGGATAGGATTTGTATCTGATAGTGGATCAGATATGGCTAAAGCACAACGTCTTATGCATCAAGTAAGTTTATTTTATATTTATTATTTAAATTTAATACTTTCAACTAAAATTAATTATGAATATTTTTAAAAAAATAAAGGATTCAGAAATAGGCGGAAAGGTTCTTACTATACCTTGTATAGCATATCAAATAAACTTACTTGTCAAAAAAATTGTGAAATCATCTATTTTTGAGCTCATTATTAAAACACTCTTAAAAATTGTTAACTATTTTTGAAATTCAAATTTGGCTTTAGTAAAATTGCGGAAATTATCACAAGATTTAAATTTAATACCTCAATATCCTTGTATTACATGTTGAGTAACTTTTTCTAAGGTTACAAAAACTATTTTATCACTTTGGAATAATATGAGAGTAAGTATAATATTATATTTATTTTTTATAAATTGTAAATTTTACTAATTTTTTTTTTATTACTCATTCTAATCTTTTAATTACAAGTAGAAGAAATGATAATAGCATAATTAATGCTATAGAAAGTATCAATTTTTGGGAAAAACTTACAATGTTTTATGAATTACTAAGGCCTTATGGTCATATTATTATGATTTTAGAATCTGAATATGCTACTCTTGGACAAGTTGTAGCAACATGGGCATGGTTAAGAGAAGTTATTAACAAATTACCTTCTAATGAAAGAGAATTTAAAACTTTAATGATTAATGAAATTGATAATCAATGGAAGAAAATTTACAATCCGATTTTTCTTATTACCTGGTTTTTGCATCCATATCATCAAGGAAAAGGAATCAAATTAACAAAGTTATTACAAATTCAAGAGAATGCTTATTCTTTATTTTGTATATTATATCCAGATAAAGATAATAATGCATTTATAGATAAATGGTTAGATTATCAAAATAAGGAAGGTATTTTTAAAGCGGAGTCTTTAAATAGTTCAAAATTACCAAGAATCCATTAAGATATTGGAGAACTGTTTTACCTCATGCATCAAATTTAGCCGAATTTGCTTATAGGCCTTTTTCAATTCCACCAAGTTCAACAACTTCAGAAAGGGTATGGTCTCTTATGGGCAATATACATACTGAACGGCGTAATCATTTATCATCAAAAAAAGCTGTTAAAATGGCACAAATAATATGGTATATAAGAGAGCAATTTTTTGCAAATAAATCAAAAAAGGCTCAAGATTCTTTAGATTCTTTAAAGGTTTATAATG